GTCTAATTTAGAAGAGAAAAGTTACTTGTTTTAGGACAAATGCAATTTTACTGTGATTTTAGCTGCCTTAGTTGCAAAAACTGATTCTACATGAAGTTTTCAGATATATCTTAAGGACAATAAAACTCTATAGCTGAAAACTATGGAGAATGTTGCAAGAACTCTGAAAAGTTGTTCCTGCAGAGTCAAAATAACAGGATTTAAGTTTAATTTATGGAGAGTGCAAACTGAGACGTAAGAGATTTTAATTCCTGCTTAACGAAGCATTACTAACTTAAAGATTAAAAAAAAAAAGAAAAAAAAAAAAAAAAGAGAGAGAGTAAGAATAATTCATACCAAAAATATTACAAGGACTTAAACAGCATGTCTGGATCAAACACAGCATGCAGGAACTGCTGGAGATCAGGAGAACCTGATATAATGGTTGGGGTTTTTTACTGCCAATATACTGTGCAACCTTGGATAAGACACTGCCCCTCAGAGTCTCCTCTAATTTAATTTTTATGCTTATCAGTACTCACTAATTTGTTTCAAGCTCTTCAGGATAGGAGCTATATCCACTAGAGGAAGATTTTTTCAGGGTCTAATCTATAGACACTTCTGTAACACAAGTATAAAGGTATGTTGATGCTATTGGATCAAGGTCTTAACGTTTATCTAATTGATCCTTAATGTGCGTACACTAATGTGACACATGACAAAAAAAAGGGGGTCTTGTTGGAGATATTTTAATTCATGCTTCAATAAGAGCTTTCCCTGAGAAGATACTAACTCATATAGCATCACCTCTCTTCATCTTGTGGTGATGACGTGACAGCAGCACTCAGAAACCTCAGTAAGGATCAAAACTCCTTCTGCAATGGGTGTTGCAAGGACACAAAAAAGTGGTTCTTGCCAAAAACCAGTCCTCATTCCAGAGGATTTGATTCAAAGAACAAATATGGGTAGTGGAACTCCTCCTGTAGTTGGTGTAGATCAGGTCAATGCAGTCAACTGAGCTGCGAGAGCTTTTCTACTCCTACACCTGAACAGCGCTCCAGGGTCCGCTTACATGCCCACCAGATCTCACAAATGAGTACAGGCTCCCTAACACTCCTGGAAACACCTCTGTGTGAGTACCTAAATTTACATTTCTGACTCAGCCAGTGCAATCATCCAATCATTTCTGCAAGCTCACAACCTAAGATAGACAAGATTTTTAGGGTGAGGTTCTATCTTTCCAGAGCATTCCTTTTAAGCCTGACCTCCTGTGGCATAAAGTTATTAGTTCAAAACCAACCCTACAGTATAAGCATGGCCAAAGGACTTCTCCATGATGAAAACCTCCAAGAGTTAATTCACTCACTGCCTTTGCTGCCTGTGTGTTCCCCTTGTCTAGACAGCCTCAACAAAGAGCTAACAAAAACTTCCAGTGATAAATCTCCCACAGTAACAAGTTTTGGAGGAAAACAGACCCTGTGATGAGAACATTATGGCTGAGTTGTTTAATTATACAGGTTTACTGGTTTATTTTGAAATGGCACTTTGCCAGGGCTTGCAGGGTCAGTTAATGAGCTGTGCTGGCTACGACTCTGCAACAACCATCAGTGGTGCCGCGGAGGTTAATAAGCTCAATCAAAGTGTGGGGCTGCCTGCCAAAAAGCTTGACTGATAAACAGATCCTCTTCAGCCTCTGTGGAAAAGCTTGTCTTCTCACCACCGCTCTCCCCGGCTGTCCAGCTCCTGCCTAGACATGGCTGGCATGGAAACAGCTGAGTCAGCTGGGTTTTTCTGGACATGCAATCAAGTCAAGAGAAGAGAGCCAAGACTCCAGTGTGGATTTAAAACAGGGGAGAAACTGCAGACAGAATGCTGGTCTTCTCCTCTTCATCTTACCCAAGCATTGCTACAAGTAGATCGTGGTTATGGGCCAGCAGAAGTACCCAGAGTTGCAGCCCTCCATTGGGACTGGAGGGACATGGGCAGTCCATGCCAGAACAGCATTTACTGTTTTTTCAGAGAGGGGATCACAAGATCTTCTTGGCATCAGTTTCCAGAGAGCAGTTGGCCTGAAAAACTGATGGTCACACGCGTTCTCCATCCTTTCCAGGACAGTGAAAGTGTTATCCAAGCCCTTCTCCCCCTCAAGTGCTTCCTCAATGCTTTCATGATGCTGGTGATTCCCTCTCCATGCTTCTTTCCTCAGGAGACACGGGGTCTAGGGTTAATCAAACTCTGCTGTCAGCTCAGTGGTTCAGAGAGCTGGTTTGCTTTGGAGCACACGGTTCTTGCTGCTCCCATGACAATATGACACTGCCAGATCTGTGCAAAACATGAACTGGCTTCTGCTTCTTTGGAAAGAAAACACCAATTCTTCCCCCTCTTCCTCTCACACCCTACTCAACACCTCATAGCAACACTACTTTCCAGATACCCAGAGTTCATAAAACCAAGAAAAAAATGTAACTACCTCCCATACACATCACCTAGGGATAGATTTTTGGCTGGATGTATGGCAGATATGTTGCAGAACTGCTGTCAACAAGCAGCAGCAGATGTTGCACACTGTATTCCCCTCTTTCCATGTTGAAAATATGCTGCTGGTGCTCCAGAGACTCCTGCTCTGGGCATGACAAGCTGGGGCCACAGTCTCATCTCATTTCTGCCAGAGTATAAAACCCACAGTGCTCCTGTAATGATTCCTCAATGCTTAAGACTTCTGTGAAGGGCCAGCTAAGACCCCTGAAATGCAAAGAAAACAGCAGGGAGATGAGTTTTCAGAAATAACCCCCAAAGAAGAATTTATATGGTCCAGGAGATATGAAATATTGATTTTAGCTCTGCTCAAGTGACAACCTGTTCTCAGGATATTCTGGGTGACATTCTTCTTTTTCTCTGCTCTTGTTTCTCTTTGTATACAACAAGCATCAGAACACTGATGTCTGTAAAACACTTGCATGCCAGAGGTGCAAAAATGTGGGCACTATCAGACAGGTAAAAGGGTAAAAAACCTTTCTAATACTGGGTCAGGCTCCTGGAAAATCTTATTCATTATTCATCTTCCCACAATGGGCAGTACCTGGTACTTTAGTGGAAGATGTAAGTAGTATGGTGAAGAACAGCTGAGAAAAAATTTATTAATGGATGACTATGATATAAAATTATGAAGGTTCATATCTCCTCAAAAAAGATTGATTTTATGATAATAGCAGATGACTTTTCCTCCATTTAAAATCAGTCATACTTTTGGTTACAGGATGACTGTAAGCCTACTGTATGTTTTGTTTTGTTTTCTTCTGCAGTTTAATTACACTTTGTATTAAAAAAAAAAAAAATCCCTTTAAACAAGCCAGTTTTCTGCTCATTGAAAGGATTGGGACTTTTATATTAGAGATGATCAGTTTGTCTCAATGAACTTAAAGTTCTTTTCCAACCAACACAATTCTATGATTTTATGCTAATTTACTTTCTTTACGACATGCTATTTTTTTTATAGCTGTATCACATATTCTTCCATTTATGTCTCACTTGTAATTAATCTCCCCAACGTTTTTCACTCTTTCACTCCATATGTCTGTTTTTCTGTGCTTTTTCATTTCAGAACAGAGTTAGAAAGATGTCTCCATATCACACCAGTGAAGATCCTATGGCACATCAAAGAGTCACCCTTACAATGAAACTCTTGTGACTAACATTTCTGATATTGTATTCTGACTTCAACAGAATACAAAATTTCTCCTCCAAATGATACTGAGTCATTTTCCTCCTTGGGGTTTGTTTTTCCATTTTAATGCACTCATTGCTATGGAAGATTTTAAAGCAGCTTTTAAAGGTGCTTGTTTTGGGGCAGGCAGGGAGAAAATATTCAAAGAAGCAGTTCTTTGATGTTCAGGCACAGGTGAATACAGTTGCCTACCTGTGTGCAGCCCGATTCGTATCCTGAGGGGGATGTCTGGCATGTGTCTCATTTTGAACGATCCCACTGAGCTGAGGATGTCCAGGGACATGTTGGCTATCTCAGCTGCGTGCTTGTTTCCATTTCGTTTTGGGAGCCCTGAGGCAACCATGTAGGCATCGCCAATTGTCTCCACCTGGCAAATATGACGGCATTAATAAATAAAGAAATAAACTGAAAATGATGGGAAAGAGCAGCAGAAGAAAACTACAAGATTGACCCAAGCATGGCTTGATCCTCATGCCCAGGTACTCCTCACCTTGTAAACATCATGGTTTCCAAGAACTGCATCAAACAGTGTGTAAAGGTCATTGAGAAGGTCAACTACTTCAATGGGTTCACTGAGGGCTGAAATGGTTGTGAAGCCCACGATGTCACTGAAGTAGATGGTCACCTGGTCAAAATACTCTGGCTCCACAGTGCCACCAGTCTTGAGGGCTTCTGCCACTGATCTGAAATGACACCACAAGATGATAGGGCATAAACATTTGTTGTAGGACATGCCCAAGAATTCAGAAACTTTTGTACTGTGCTCAAAAGGTTTTTCAATAATTAGAAGGATCTATAGGACTGTAACAAGCATCGATTGGAAGGTGCTTGCCAAAATTGGAAGTCAGCTCTGCAAACTCATTGAGTTCTGGGAAACTCTTTTGTCCAGTTTAGCTATGCAGTGCCAAGGGATTTTTTTTTTTTATCATCTAAGGTACTAATACTTACGGGGGGAGCATTTGGGACAGTAGTTTTTCTGTCTTCTGTTTTTCAATCTCTAGCTCTTCAGTTCGCTCCCTGATTAAATCTTCCAAGTTGCTCGAATACTGCTCAAGCATCCTGAGCATTGAGTCAATGATATTGGTCTTTTTCCCTTTGTTAATGGTTTTGAACTGGAAAATCAAAATGGAGAATTATTTTCCCATCTCATTACACCATTGTAGCATTCTAAGTTTGGAAAGGGAGAAAAAGCAAACGCTTATTTTAAAGGGACAATGCTAAAGACTGGCTTCATCAGTGGTGAGAGTTCAGGAAAGGAAAAAGGCAAAGTAGAGGGTGAAATTGAATCAATAACTATGGAAGCTGCCCAGAAGCATGTTGTTCTTCTATAAACTTTCAATGAGGATTAAGTGAAACACAATCTTCCATGAGATGACAACTTATATGTCCATTTTCACCTGGTCAAAATACTCTGGCTCCACAGTGCCACCAGTCTTGAGGGCTTCTGCCACTGATCTGAACTAAACTAAAAGAGGGGAGGTTTAGATTAGATATTAGGAAGAAGTTTTTCACTGTGAGGGTGGTCAGACACTGGAACAGGTTGCCCAAGGAAATTGTGGATGCCCCCTCCCTGGAAGTGTTTAAGGCCAAGCTGGATGAGGCTTTGAGCAACCTGATCTAGTGGAAGGTGTCCCTGCTGATGGCAGGGGGGTTGGAACTGGATGATCTTTAAGGTCCCTTCCAATCCAAACCATTCATTCTATGTGAGTTGCTGTTGGAGTCCTATCATGCTGCAAATTTGCACCCTCGTTTATCCCATGAGTAGCCTTTAGGGTAACTTGCAGCCCTTTGCACTCGGAGGTGTAAATTTCAAGGTATTAGTAACATTTTCAACCTGCTTATGTATTACTAGTCTTAAAACCACCTTTGCACACTGTCATGTATGTGTACTGCCTTCCCCCATCCCTAGCCCCTCATTGAGTTGTGCTCTTTCCTCTTGACTTGAAGATGAGTCTCTGGACCATTCAGATAATCTGTGGCTTCAAATGTTGCTTTAGACTTGACAGTGGGGTCACATGGGTGTAAAATTAATCACATTTTCATAGAACTGAAAGGTAAAAATTATGGCTATGGATTTACCTAGTTTGACCTTACAAGAACATAGGAACACTACTGCTGGATCAGACAAGGGCTTTATTTTGCAAGTACCTGGCCATGAGACTGGCCAGTAACAGATGTCTGGTAAAGCTGTTCAAACAGGGCTCAGGTACAGTCACATTTCTTGGGATATGCTCCCAGCCTCCACCAATCTGCAGACCTTCTACACTAAATGTTCTATCTTTGTGTTTAACAGCCTTTGGTGAATTTTCCTTTTAAATTAATCCCCTTTTAAATACTTTAAAAGGTCAAACAACGTATTTATCTGAAGGTACTATTGTAATTTACAGATCTTTCATCTCCATGGGATCATCCAGGCAGATTCACTGTAAATATGAAGATGTCAAGCCCATGTCCAGCCTGCTTCACACCCCATGTTGTGGTGGCATGGCAGCCCAAGTTTAGAACAAGGTGTAAGCCAGGCCAGGCCTGGCCAACAAAAACAAATGTCTAGACACCAAGAACCATAAAAGAACGCAATAGCAAAGGCAGGACTAGAGCTCTGGGACTTCTTCAATCATTATTTAAGGGCTCACTTAAAGAAATAAAACACACATTCCTGCCAAGTACAAACAAAGGATTGCACCTGCTGCTCTATTCACCGACCTTATGAAATACCTCCTCAAAGGTTGGACGTCTTTCGGGGGCTTCACCCCAGCACTGCTTCATTACCTGGATGCACTCCAGGGGGGCCAACTCAGGGGCTATGTTTGGGCGGCACAGGGGAGGGGGCTTCTTCACTTTTTTTATAATTTCTGTAACAAAGAGAAGAATAGAAAACACATTGTGAGATGGGTGGTCTTGGTGGGAACAAAGGACACGGACCTTTTTGCCTGTCCCTTGTTCGCTTCTTCAGCCATCACCATTATTCCTCATCACCCAACAGCTGTGTCAAATGAATCTGAGGGTTTCTGCTTTCCTCTGCCATGATTCTTTTGGAGGATTTAAAATATAAGAGATTCATCTGTCTTCTTGTCCCTGGAGAACCAGGTTATGAGCAATAAAGTGACTAGATGGGGGAAGGTTGTGTGACAGATGGATGTGTGAGCTTGCAGGCTTATGTTTAATGAAATTGCCTTTGACTCTCTCCATTAGGATCTGTGATCCTCGAAGAGAGGATTATGGGTTATGGCTGAGCCCAGACAGGAAGGATACCAGCCTCTTACACTTCATTGTTAACTGGGAACCAGTACGTAGGAGGTTGATGGGAATGAAAACCCTGGAAAGTATTTTAAGAGGGAGAGTTTGGGTTCAAAACAACATCTGGGAAGTTGCTCCCTTTCCAGAGGTGAAATAAGACTAATAAGGAATTGAGCTTGGGCTTTCAGACCCTGAGAATTCAGTCCTTGAATCTGCAGTTTTTACCTAAAACAGCCCTACAGCAAAGGAGGTGAGCTTCAGATTTTGTTGACAGCTGAAGCATGGACAGGAGAATGTGATGTCTAACCCAAACCATTACTTCAGTTAGTATTTCATAGTAAGGTATTTCATAGTAAGAATATCCTGGAGGTAACGTGGTTTTTTGGAGGTTTTTTTTGTAAGGTAGGACTATATCTTCCTGCTTTAAAAAAAAAACCCAAAGTAATTATATTGAAGGTTTGATTTTGTGTAGTGCAGAGCCGCCAAATGGAGTGAAAACCACCCTCTTTCTGGCAGGATCCCTGTGTTTCCACAGCTGTTACTGTGAGTACCCAAAGCTCTTCAGTGTTGACAGTTTAAAGCTCTTTGGCTCATCTCACCAGTCTCCACCAAATGAACTAAACAAAGCACTGGGCCCAAATATTTCCAGGGGCAGCCAAGGGGAAATACCTTCCCCAGACAGTTTTAAAGTTCACACCCCAAGTGAAAGCTCCTTGAGGATTAGGAAGCAATGAGTAGAAATTTATCGTGTCATCAGGTCAGGAAACTGGAGTGCACTACATTCAACATTTGCTAGAGGTGCCTCGAGGGGACTAGGTTGGGGGACACCTGCTAATTACTTCATAGGCTACAACATAGATCTAGCTCTGAATTACAGTGCAGGTTACATCATAATCATCATTGTCATTGCATTGTTGCAGCAGCTTGGGGCTCAGCAAGGTTAGAGCCTCATTTTTTCAGGCACTGAACTGGCAGATATTGAATGACCATACCCAATTTGGTGACTGTCCAGCTTAAAATGTGTTAAGAATGGGTTTTCACAGAAATCAGTTCTTTTTTTAATTGTTCTCACTCCTTCCCATTTCAAGTGCTTGTGACCTGACCCTGACTGCAGTGTGTTTGCTCTTCCTATGCATGCACAACATGGTTTGAACTAATTAGAGTTGTACCATGAGTGGTTCCTAAGTTTTCAAGACCAGGTTGGAAGAGGCTCTGAGCAATCTGGTCTAGTGGAAGGTGTCCCTGCTCATGGCAGAGGGGCTGGAACTAGATGATCTTTAAGGTCCCCTCCAGCCCATACCATTCCATGATGATTCTATGATGAAGTTCACCTATTTGCTATTTCTGATACAAGCCACCATATAAATCAGTGAGGTCATGACCTATCACTTTGATCTCTGCTGAAGAGAGAACCTCTTTAAATGGGAAAGTAATTATGGAAAAATAGATGGACAGATGGAAAAAAATAGGATGTTAGCAAGGGGTCCAGCTCAAAAACCTCAACACTCATGACATACAAAAAAGGACCGATGAGTGGGAACCAAAGGAGCTTCAAAGCTATGGGAAATTCTGTCGTCAGATTTCACCCCACAGTGCGTTGAAGAGTCAGTTTGGAGAGGGAACTGGAAGCGCTGCAATGGCCTGACTGTCAGCCAGTTCTGAAGCATCCCATAGGGTACCCAGAGCCCAAACTGCACTGGTACTAGTGATGACTCACACCTCGAGGCTGAGATCAGAACTACACATTTTTATATTTATTACAGATGATTTGTTGAAAACAGCCTTTTGTCACTGAGGAAGGTCATGAGATTGGGATGCTATTTCCATACTAATGTTTTCTCCAACGAGCTTAGCCAGACCTTTTATGAGCACTCTGTGTAAAGCCTTAAAAACGTACTGAAAGAGTTGCCTACCTTCAGCTGAGAGTTCTGACATGCAGTATGGTGGACCCCGAACAACCACTTCTTGTAGAATGATTGCAAAGCTGTAAATATCTCCTTTGAACGTGCCTTTTCTACACATGTCCGGGTCCCTCAGTAATTCAGGAGCTGTCCAAAGCAATTCTAAAAGATTCAAGAGCATCACTTTTCTTACACTTGAGCTTAGACTATTGCAAATTAAGTGGTTAAACGAACACTTCATTTCAGTCTTTTGAGGAATGGTTGGAACATACTTCATTATTTACTGGATCAAGTCTTTTATTTCTTGTGATGTGTTAGAAATATTAAAGTTCCATTCTGACAAAAAAATTTAATTTTCCCAACTTCACTCTACATTTTAAAAAAATGTTGTTACACCAACAATTTATATCTTATAACACCAGTCCTGAAATTCAACATAAGAAGTCTTCTCACTATTTTCAAAAACTCTAACACCTTTTTTTTTGTTTGAAAATATCACTCAGACACAAAGTTGGCATTGAAGTCTGGATTTCTTGTCACTTCTGTTGCTCTTTTACAAAGCAACAGTTAACAAAATATTTTCTGTAGTTCTTCTTAGATGAAATTAGTTTCCATAAAAGCAGTTTGTGGCAGTCTGAAGCACAATCAGTCTTTATAATCCAGTAGCTCAAGTGATGAAAGACACAATTGTAAAACATTCCCAGCTTCATCAAGAAATGAATCTTCTTTAAACCAGGATATTGTTACCCTGGTAACTGTGCATTCTGAGTAATGGGGATGAAGCATGCATCAGCTACTGCAATATATATAACTTTTGTAAGGGAGGAGAAGGTGGTCTTCTGACAATTTCCCTATCTGAGACACTGGAAATATGTAGGACTCAAATCCTGTGACAGAAGGATCAAAACACAAAATACAACTTGAAATCAGGTATCAAGAATAAACTGGGATACCAGGCTTTGGTGATTGGCATGTAGAAGAGTTATTTCAAAGAGACTCGTATCATCTTATGTTTCAGATGCCTTAATTGTACAAAATAAGACTCTTTGCATTTGGGTTAACCTAAAAATTCAAATATAGGGTTGGGACTAAGGATAGGAAGCCAGTTCCACCAGTCACAGGAATTCAGGATTTATCAGATTTCAGGGGCACTTAAATCCTTCTCCAACTTCGACAAGCTTAAGTTCTGTCACTGCTTAAAATAAAATCTTTTTTCCTTACCATGACACTCTGCTATTCACTTCACTTTTAAGAAGTCTGAAAAAAGCTTTGCTTATCCTTTCTTGTAACAATGCATTGTATACAGGTAAATAAACGTCATGAGATTGGGCACATAAATCCTTATGTGTCCACTGACCTGGAATTGCATTGGGAGAAGCATCTGTTAAATCAACAGACAAATATTGCAAAAAAAAATTTCCTTATGGCACTTACCTTCTGGGGGTGGTGGAATATATGGGTATTTCTGTGCTTCTAAGAGCTCGTTATAACCATAGTCAGTGATCTTCAGCACAAACCGGCCGTCTACAACACAGTTACGAGACTTGAGACGTCCATGAGCAAAATCTCGGTGATGCAAATACCTAATTCCCTATGAAACACAGAAAAGATTAAGGTTGTTCCTTAAGAATTGTATTATCCAGCAGTGTTCAGAGACACCAAGCCAAACTGTCACCTTAGATGGCATCAAACACAGCATTGACCCTGTGCCAAATGCAGTGCTGATCAATCTGAGAAACTATGGGAAAAGTTCAGAAATGGATTAGGAACAAGAGTTGGATTAGCTACACCCTGAAGTAATGCTGGAAAGGACTATCAGTCAGATAGCTCCCTCTGTACCCCTAGGACTCATTGCACTTAGAAGTTGTACTTTTAGACAAGGTTAAGAAGGTAGACACAAGTGGTAGCCAATGGTCAGGTCAAGGCAAGACATTAAGAGCTGAATACCCTTACCCAGCTCCCTGAAGGAGGATCAGAAGGTGGATCATGGGCTGTAAGAAAGGTTCTGGTAGTCTACCCTTTGTAGGCAACCTACCCAGGTTGGTAGTTTACCATTAGGGGATGAAAACACATGGGACATATAATTATAAGAGTGTGAACACTCTTCTAAAATGACCGTATGTGTAGCCATCCTGTGACAGAAGATGTCTATGGTTTGGTTCTATGCTGGATGCATTTCTGATTTATGACAGGAAAGGGCCTTGGAAAGTATGAATTTGTCACCAAATTCATTGTTCTAGGTGATCATTTCTAGCCTGATGTATAGTTTTAACCTCTCATCCTGCTGTGTGGATGTAGTCCTGTTACCCCAAATAGTGCTTCTCTCAGATGGTAACAAAACAGGAATAAGAGACCTCCATTAAGGACCTTGTGTTCCACTATAATTGCATTCGCATTAATTTTCCCTGCGTTACTATAAAAATCCCAAAGTCCTGGATGAAACATAAAAGTCACAGGCAGGTCACGCCTCACCAGGAGCAATGGATTTACTTTAATTAGATCCATCACAAGAGAGGACTTGAACATCCAATCCAGTTTCATATCTTCATTTCTCAGCAAGTCCTCCAGGCTTCCTCGGGAGCAGTACTCTGTCACTATGGCAAAGATGCCACAGTCAAAGAAAAAGCCCAGGAACAGATTCACATTTTCATGACGCAGATCTTTCATCTGAAAAAAGACAGTGAATCACAGTAAGACCAAGTCAGCCAGACATCTGTTCAGCAGCTTCTTTATATCATTAGATGTCCTTACCATTCCAGTACTCCCAAAGTCTTTCACACAAGGATGGGGAAGCAAATATCATCTTTGCTGCTTATTTTCATCTATCCTACACTCTTTTTAAGCTTTACTTTTTTTATTCTATCCATTAAGGTAAAGAAATTAAGACAGCAAAAGCAAACTGAACAGAAATTTATTTGCCTTTAGACAAGCTGGTTTGGATCTTTCACTAGGACAAAATGACCTCACTGGGATAGAGTTCAGCATGTGGAGTCTTGCTCCAGCTCTGGTCTGATCTGTAAAGCAATACCATGCCTGGAGTACCCAAAGTCATCTGACAATGGTGGCATGCCTTGGTAAAATTGTTATATTTCTATGCATAAAAATGTCAATCCTATGTTAGCAGTAGGTTCCAACAACTACTGGTCTTGAATTTGGAAAAGAAATGTATTTGCTTGTCATTTAGTAATAACAATAAAATTGAAGACTCAAAGTAACTTTCTAAGAGGCATCTTAGCTGGAAACACAAAACAAATCCCAGAGAAATGCACAACTGTGTCTGTGCCACATTGTTAGGCAGTCAACAAATAACACATGAAAACAGCTACTGGTGCATCATCCTGCCCTAACACAGGCAGGGATGATTTCCTCCAAACCACTCTGTCTTTGCAGACAACGTCGCTTAGAGGACTCCTACATTCAGCATTGGACCAGCTTTGAAATGTCAGGTCCAGGGTGTTTTGCAGGATGCTGACTCTGACACATGGGTCATTGGTAAGTTTGTTAGAGGCAATTCATGCATGGTCCATTCCACCAGATTTCACTGGGCAAGAGTCATTGACAGCCATGACACGTGATTCAATGGATAAATAGGAGACAAGGAGAAAAAAAATTCCCTGTAGTCACAAAGGTTCCCTGAGCAACCTTCCCTCCACATCCCCATCCCCTGTTCCTACCTTCCTCAAGATGCTGGTGGAGCTTTGCCGCAGACTGTGAGTCGCTCCCGTCTCAAATTTTTTCAGCCACACCCAGTCTCCCTGTCCACAATACAGATGGGTGAATCATAAAGCAAGTCTTTGAGCAACAGCTAGCATTGGGACCTAGGGCTGAATTCCACATCCTTGACTTCGAATGTGATTGGGGATTTTCAATATTCTTAGCAGTAGATTATTTTTATACTGCACCCAAATAAGAATATCCACAGGAAACCCTCAAAAAATGGGACAAGGCAGGACTTTCACTTGGATCAGAACTTCCTATCTGATAAACAATAAATTGATTAAAAAGGAAAGTAACTCTGTCCAGAGCTTTTCTCTGGCATTAATGATCCAGTTTATTTTGATCCTTTTCAGGAAAAATTGTTGTGTGATTTTTTTCAAAAAGCTGTATTTTTAGGAAAGAACGGATGGATGGGTTGAGTTTTCTTGGCCATTGTCTCTGCTTAAACTCCATACAGCCCTATTGGCACAAAGGGGAATTTGATAGCCTTTATTCTGTGTATTTGGATCTTATCATTAAAGAAAGGTCCTTATTAGAGATGTCTCCACCTAAAGCCTTTATCTTATAGGAAACATTCTTCATGGTGCCTTTAGGCAGGGACATCTCTAATAGGGACCAGACCTGGCAATGGTATATAGGGATGTCAAATACCACCACCCCACATGACTCCAAGTGTCAGAGTGAGGTTTGGGGTATAGTCACCTTAAGCACTGGTAAGTCCATTCTTGTGATTAACTTATTTTCACCCTCAGAGTTCATTAGCAGTTTTCACATCTTGGGACCTATAGTACTGTAACTGAAGACTTTCTCCATTTGAGTAGCTCAATGAACTGAAGCAGTGAGAGAAGGCTGCACAAGGTTCCTACCTACCTCATATAAAGCCACGTTGGAGGTTTCATGGGTGGCAGCTGTGCTTTTTGAGGAAAGGGAGCGGGTTACGGATTTCAGGCTTCTGCCATCAGCTGCTATGCTGTTTGCATCAGTCAGACTGTCCAAGGTCAGCCTCTGGAAGGCCAGGAAAGCAGGTTCAAGACAGTTAGCACTTCTGGATGTAAACCTTCACTCCAGATCTGCCTCAGGCTAAACATTTCATCCATGCTAGCAACCTCCCAAACCTCCCATCTCACCTTTTTGAATACCTCTAAAAGGCTCATAATGTTGACCCTGTTTAGTAACTTGAAACACTACAGCAACACTTTAGGTGATAGAAATGCCATGGCTTGGAGGAGACACCAGAGGAGGCAGGTATCTCTCTGAGAAGGGCACAGATAAGTGTCTCTTCTGGCACAGGCAAGAGGTCTGTATCTGCCAGTGACCTGGCAGTCCATATCATCGGACTTACCTTTTTATTTAGGTCTGGATTGATGAAGACAAGGTCATCCAAGGTCAGTATTATCTTGTTAGGCCCCCTGAATAGCTGGCTGTTCAAGATGCTATGCCTAAGAGATTTGGAGAATCATGGTTATAATTTTTAAGTAGGAAACCATTTTACATCACCTCTGAGTTCCCCACACCTAGATTCCCCACACAGTATAAGGAAAATGCAGCCTGGGGTGTGGCAGCAGGGATGGACATGGGTGAAAGCAGTAGATAAACCATGATATCACTTGCACTCAAATTCTTTGAGTCAATCATCAAGGGCTATCAAATTCACGAACTACAGAAGCTATAATCTCAAAGGGTCTTATCACAAAGAGACATCTGGACTTAGTCTGGTTATAAATATGAATTGGATGTGTATGTAGTGCACACTTTGTTTTGTTTGGTTTTATTTTTTCACATCTCCAGCCATTCTCCATTAGGAGGGAATAATAGGTTTTATTAGACCAGCCAATCTGGCTGGTGAGCAAACACATCTTAGGGACTGAAACTAAACCATGGATAATTTATAAAAGCTGCCTGGACCCAAGTCACCAACAAAATGTACGGGTTGAATCTCTATACTGTAGCATGGTGCAGTATGAAGCACACAAGATATCCCTTGTAGTGACTGCAAGCTCATACAGAGGGAAAAGCCACAGGAGATGAGGAGTTTGGAGTGTGTGGTGTAGTGCTATGCAGCGTGGAGGTCCTGGAAGCAGTACTGCTGAGACAGTGCTGTTCCTCTTCGTTTGGAGTAATTGGATCAAGAAGACTCTGCTGATTCAGATCTACTTCTTCCAGAACCTGAGCCAGATGGGATGTCTATCATGCACTTTGTAACACGGGACAAATGTGCTTCTGGCATCTCCACAGGATGCTGCTGCCTGTTTTCCAAGGGATGACTCTCTGCACTCTTTGATAGGCTCCCAGATTTGCAGAACTTCCATGAGTGAGATAAAATTCAGCATAGCTGTCAGACCAGCAAAGACACTCTCTGTTGCTTGACTGCATTCTGCCACTTCTCCAGCTTCTCTTGAATTTGCAAAGAGACCACAACACAAAATGGTGCACTGCCAAGGACTACATGTTTCTGGGATAGTTCAAATGCCCACTTTGTGTGAATCGATATGAAATATTCCAGAGTTTCATTGTAGTTTTTAGCTGGGATTCCTCTGACACTAATACCCACCACATGGCCATTTTAAGGACTCAGAGAGGAGGCAGAAATCTCACACCATTGTTTTGAACCCACTGTTTCCATGCATGTCAAGGTCTAACACTGAGCACAAAGCACACCGTATCTATGGGACAGTAAAAAACTCATCAAGCAGGAAGACAGAAGGGAAATTAAAGCTTCCTCATAGCCCAAAGTGTCACATTTTTTGTTCAATGAACTTTGCTTACACTACCGCACATATCTGATCTACACACACGTAAGACTTTTCCTGATGAGGTGGGCAATAGAGTGCCTTTTGCTAACTGTACTGTAGAAGGATTCCACTTTGCAAAATATCCATAGATCTCCACAATTTCCATTGCATGTACCACTCCAGGCTTTTTAGAAGAGCACAGACAGCTTTTTGGAGTTCAGAGGAAGCCTTGGCCGTATGACCACAGGCATCAGCTGAGATGAGTTTCTATAATCTTTAACCACTTGTCTCAAGCCACCCAACTCAGCTTCATGCAAAAATCTCATCACTTATGTACCTTTCACCTGTCCTCCTAAAAACCTTGCTTAGTCAATCAAACCTTTTCCCCCAAGCATGGAGGAAAGCATCCCTCTGTCAAAAGCAAAGCATAGAGAGTAGAGTGACTCATTTAAAGTCATGCAGCAGATCCATGCCTGGCAGAGCTAAGACTAGAGCTCCCACGTTTGAACTCAGACCATGCTGTGGTTTAAATTTAGTTCCAGACATGCCCTTCCCCAGCATAAATCATTGTCTGAGTCATGCTAGAATTTTCTTTTTTTCCTTGCAGATGGCCATACATCTTTACTCAGGACTGAGCCTTCCCAAGCACAGTCTGGTACTTGTGGAACAGCTTACAAGTAGAGTAGGGAGAAAGGTTGGCTTTTATTTACACAATTGTGGAGGCTGATGGCCAAGGAATAGAGCAGGGCTTTAAAGTGAGGGTGGATGGAGACAACCTCCTCAGTGCCTGCAATTATGAGATATCAGGAGCAGCTGTGTGTTATAAGTGGGGGAACTGTTTGGGGTGATGCTTTCTGGGTGGCCTTATACCATCTGGGTTTGGAGAGATGATTCAGGAGTCAAGAGAAAATATGGTTTGGGATTATTTGAGAGGCAAAGCTGTGTGGGAAAATCCAGGAACCCTGCTCTGCTAAACTCATTGCTGCTGAGTAAATATGCCTTCTAATTTCAGTCTAATTTCAGTCATGCACCATGTAGACATCAATAATGAGAACTAGATTACTCCAGGGGCCAGTTTGTAGCAGATTACCTTAAGTTATGGCCATAATGTCCTTGCTAAAGAGCAACCCATAGCTCCTGGACCAACCAGTCCATGCTGGCTCAAGTCCACTTTGGATACATAGTCAGGACACAAGTGTGACCTATGCAATTGTTGGAAACTGTCCCTTCCCCAGCAGACCACTTCATTTGCTTCAAAGATCCCATACCCAGACCAATATATATGCAACGTGAGTGTCCAGGGAGCTGAACTTCAGTTCAAAAAAGGGAGTGAATCAGCTTGGTAATAAAGAGGTACCATAATTAATTGCTCAAAACTATCTCCAGAGATATTATCTCTCTCTTTAGTACATGGAGAAAGTAAAGAGGGTCAATCTAGGTGCTTCATAAGAAACATGATTATACTAGGAACAGTAACCCCAGAAAGAATGATCTGGAATAAGAAAAAAGACATTTAACATGGCAGCCCACTCAGTTTTCACCTCAGTGTTCTTAAAGTAGATTCCTGTTGTTGGTTTGTACAGCACAGTTTGCATTTCTAAAGTGACAGTCACCTTCCTAATGCTTCAGAACCATCATCCAACTAATCCTTCCGGCAACAGACTGCAATCTTCTTCCAAACCTGGACTGGATTAAAGGTAAAATGGCTCCTCCTGAGACAGCAGAACTAATGCCCGCAGTGCTCAAGCCACTATCACTTAATAAAGTGAAGAAATATGTAGATGGAGAGGAAAGATCACAATCAAACTTGCCGTGTGTTTGCATGGTCCAAACTGCTGGTTAAAGTGCAAGTCTCCATGAGAAGCTAAAAGTGATACCAAATCAAATACATACAATTCTCACCTGATGAGAGAAGCCAGGCCCACAGCACAAAGCGCCAGGGCAATCATCAGCATTATTCCCAAAATCATGACTGTAGGCTCAATCCCTGTGCAGAAAGGGGAAAAGAATCAGTGAATTAGAAAATCCCTTTGATTTAGGCAATAATTGAAAATATCAGTATCAGACCATTAGACTACAAAGTCAAATATTCAGCCAGGAAAATGCCAGAAGAGAATTTTTATGCGATGTTAATTGGTGAATACACAAATACTTACTGGCTTTATTTACATGAGAGTGCAGCTACTTTAATTATTTACTTCCAGGCCCTTTTTTTTGTTTCTATACCAGATCTAGAGCCCTGAATCAGTGGAAAAATAGTTTTCCTTCAAGTAAATAAAGACTGAACTCACAGGGAAAAATTATGTTTTAAAGGCAGCTTCTGCAAAGTTCATAACTTCTGAACATTTGACCCTCTTCTCTCCAGGAACTGAAACACCGAAAAAACTTTATCATGTAGTACCAAACTGATGACCAGTGTGAGTCACCAGCCCATCTGGGATTTTTCATTCCCTGCTATGGATTTCTAATGATAAAAAGAGCAGAAGGGAAGGGGGAGAAGGTTGAAGTTTTTTCCTCAATGGACCCATCAACAGAAAGTGTTGGAGACAAGACACTTTGCTCATGAGTGTCTTTGCTAGAGAGCTAAGGAAAGCTGACATGAGTGGACGAGCTATATTCCAGTGGGAAGTGTTTAGTGTCTCTGTCTCTTCTGTTTATTTCTATTTTATTCTGTCTGTATTCAGTGATCCTTAAACACAAACAAGCATGAAGAAATTTGGGTTCATGACTCTGTGTCACGTCTGGACCTAAATCACAGGACTTTTAGCTCTAAGCTCTGAAACTTAGAGCTTCCTAGTGAAAGCTGAAAGCATTTTTGAAAATTGGTGTCCTTTTCAAGAAAACACAGAGCATTTTAGCCTAAATTTTCCTGCTTTTTTTTGCTGAATTTGGACTTACTTTCTGCTTCAGCCCAGGGCCCCAGTTCCTGATTGTCCTCACACATATACTGGAACACGTTGCCCAGAGAAGCTGTGGATGCCCCATCACTGGAAGTGTTCAAGGCCAGGTTGGATGAGGCTTTGAGCAACCTGATCAAGTGCAAGATATCCTTGCCCATGTCACAGAGTTTGGACTTGATAATCTTTAAAGGTCTTTTCCAACCCAAACCATTCTGTGATTCTATGAAACTCTGCTTTCATGCTCCAGCCTTGAAGTAGCCCTGATACCTCCACCTGAGAAGAAATTCAGGCACAGTAGAGTGGATGCTTCACACCCATTTCTCCACCTTGCAGGCAGTGTGGCTGTAGACCAAGGTTTCACTCCACTAAACTGCAATGGAGACACAGACAGATTTCTCCAGGAGATGCTCACCTTGAATACAGGAATGACCAAGGCCTCCAAGTACCAAGCTGGCGTGGAGGCCAGGTTTTGTTCTTCATGCATGGGTAAAGTCAGAGTGCTGTAGCCCTCATAAAAGCAGGTGACAGCAAAGAGATGTTGTCCTGGTTTTTAGGGACCAGGACAGATGTTCATCCCTAGGAGGCAAGGGAGCTGCCAAAGATGTGACTCTCTTCAGAAGGACTGGTGTGAGAGTGAAGCCAGAACACATCTCATAAACATCTTGCACAATGCTGGATCCATAAAAAAGGAGAGACTGGATCAGCCTAGAAGCAGAATTGCAGGAGACCTAGTGCTCTGGACCTGTAGTCACCTGCTGGGAAACTTGTTACTGAAGAGAGAATGAGCTTTGAATAGCTCTGTCAAAGGGACATGGGTTGGTTTTCTTGCTGGACAAAGGAGAAAACGCTTCCTGGACAAACCAGTGATAAAGTGCAGGAATATGGAAGTCCTATCTCACATCTCTGCATGGCCTTCTAACAGTTTCAGAGAGAATCTGTAACCCAGACCACAACGTGGTAGGAATCATGTGGAGTTTGTTAATGCCCTCTTCTGTATTCAATCAAGACTTTGGGGGTTTTTTTGTGGTACTGTCTCCTGAGCTTCCTCAGGTAGCCCCCAGAGATTCTGCTGTCTGAACAAATCTCCTTTGAGAAAGAGCCTCAGATAAATTTTTGCTTATTAGAATTTCATTGTATTGTCCACAAGTGCTTGACCATAATTTAAAGGACTCTAAGGCAATATGGTACTTGGAAGGAAGTACAGAAAACCGAGGAATAGCAAAAGGTCTGATCATGCCCTTTGCTCAAAGTATGGGCACTGTTACCCATCATGATGTGAGGACTCTCACAGCTGGAAAACATCCAAATTCAATTTCATTCACTGAAGCAGCATCTGATAAGATGAGAGCAAGAGCTGTAGTTGGAGCACAAGATTCACTGGGGTGAATAAGAGACAGCAAAAGGACAAGAGAAAATAAACAAACCCTAAGGAATAGGAGACAGTGAAAACAATACCAAAGATCAGAGTGTTCATGTCACTGATGGATGGGCCATTGAAAGAAAAATGCAAAGCCTTGAGGAAGCTCAACCAGAACTAGACAGTGAAAACAATACCAAAGATCAGAGTGCTCCTGTCACTGATGGACCATTGAAAGAAAAATGCAAAGCCTTGAAGAAGCTCAAGCAGAACTGTATCATAGAATCATAGAATAGCATCATAGAATCATAGAATGGCATGGGTTGGAAGAAACCTTAAAGACCATCTAGTTCATTTTATACCTAATCAGAGTGAAAGTAAGGTGATCATGGGCTCATGGGAAAGAGCAAACTTATGGCATACTTGAGGGCACTTGTGGGACTGTGTTAAACTCATTAAGGGACACTTCAAGGGAACTGGAGGAGTATATGAAACTTTCATGTCCCCTCCCTGGAAGTGTTCAAGGCCAGGTTGGATGAGGCTTTGAGCAACCTGGTCTAGTGGAAGGTGTCCCTGCTGATGGCAGGGGGGTTGGAACTAGATGGTCTTTAAGGTCCCTTCCAACCAAAACCATTCTATGATTCTGTGATTCTTATGGGATGTTTAGAGGAAGGGGAAAAAATGAGGAAACGGAGGCATGAGAGTGAGTTGGGATAGTGGGATACTGGAGAGGATGTGGGATGCTTGTCACACATAAGCATGTTGAGCACTTTTCTAGCCAAACCCTCCACCTGGTCACCACAATCTGTCCTACCTTCTTCTTAACCCATATTCCTAATTTTTTTTCTTTTCCTGGATGAGTGTGCTCTCTGCCTGCATGTGGTGTTTGTAGACCTCACATCAACCTAACCAACTGATAAGACATCCTGGAACCTGCAACCTGTGAGAGACCACAAGTCTGGAGATCACTTCCTGCAAAGACCAAGGGATTTGAGAACTGGCTGTGGAGGAATTACAGGTTTGGACCACCTACCAGAGAATGCATTTGTGTGTGTGCAGGCACTGGAGTTATGAGATCTGGTAGCAAGCTTAGAGCCTGATTAAGTGACGCACAAGAACAGGATCAGGCTGTTTGTGTTGTCCCATGTTTTGGCAATTCTGCTTGTGGGTAGTGGTGCCTGTAAACACATTTCTCTCCTGAATGAGTCTGTTGGTGGCTGGCTGTGTCTGCACTGTGTATCTGCGTGTGCACATGTACTGGGAACACTTGCTCAGCCCTGCTCCTGGTGGACCTGGGCTCAGGAACCACAGCAGCTTGGCAGCTTCACATCTAACTCCATACAAAAGATAGATTGAGGCCTGGATTTAATTCTAGTAATAAAATTCAGTCTCTGAAATATTAGTAATAATAATAAATTACTGTTTCACTGACAAATTCCTAGAACTTCACACTTTTGTAAAGGTGTGAACATAAAATCTAGTCTCTCTAAAAATCAGTGGGATTTTTCCATGGACTGCAACGGGATGCTAAATTGCTACACCATTCTTAGTGGCAGTGCAAAATTAGATATATGGTAGCATCATATTTGTCTCTTCCGTAGTTGGCCAGCTGCTGTAAGATCAGTATATCTCTAATTTTCATGGAGCGACATGGATTTAAACCAGCTATGGCTGAGCCAAAGGGAATGTTTTTCTCAGCTGCCAAATGAAATATTCTGTAGATGTGGTTAATTTTGTCTGTTTAAGTCATATCCTGGAGCAGTAGGAGTGAATACTTAGTATTATAAGTAAATATGTCAAGTGGAGGCTAAGAATCCTACCCTGAGATTTTGGCTTCCCTGTGGACTTTAAAACTACGCCACAATTGCCTCAAATTAAAACCAATAAGTAAAACCACTGCCCAGGCTCACAAACCTAGGAAGCAGCGTAAATATCTGTGCCCCTACGTCTTTGATTACCACCTTTGTTGTCTACAGTAACTCAAATTATTTTGAGTAATGATTATCATCTTTTCTTGATGAGGTGAGCTCTGATGATCCTTAAAGCCGCATAGCTAACTAGGTAAAGAAGCTGAGGTTAACCAGGAGAGATGGTGAGAGCATCTGCTGTTGCGCAGCTCTCTCAGGCTGTCTTCAAAGCAAATCCTCTTAGTGCCCTGTCCCTCAGAAGGACAGGGACACAGTGCTGGCTGGAGCTTCTGGCGTACATTGATTGCTATCAAAATAGGCAGATGTTGACTGTGAGACCCAGAAAACTCTTTCCAGCACACGAGAGTGGTAACAAACTTTTTTATCTAAGGAGCAATAAGAGAGTCTTGTGGATCAATAGTGGAATCTCTGTACAGCACTCCAATTACAAACACGGTGATTGATCATATTTATATGGAGTAAGAGGAAAGATTAAATAAATAAAAAGCACAGATCCAATGTCATTTGACCCCTTTTTTTTGTCTTTCTTACCTCCAGTGCATAGAACTTCTGGATCAAACCAACAGTTGGAGTCTGGAAGGGGTGGAGCTCCACTGGGAAAGTGCATGGTCCGGCCTAGGAACTCCACAGAGTCTGAAGACATGTTCAGCAAGTGGGTTGGGAAGAGCTGGTTCCCATGGCCTTCTGTGTCCAGTATCACGTAGTTGTTCAGTCCCTTCCCACACTCGTCTGTCTCTACCCAGTAACTAAATCCAGGGAAACTTAAGTTTTTTGTGTGCTCAGCTATGTTAGCTCCTAAGTTTCTGACTCCTTTCCTCCGAGCACTGTGTACAGCCATTGCCATGGAGTAAATGGCATCATAGATTGTTCCAAAAAGTGGAGAAACCTAAAAATACAAGAGAAATTTTGGTCAGGATAAACTGCTGCCAAACTCTGGTTTGAGATCTGTGGCAAAAGATGTCCCACTGGCTAAGCTGTAAACTCAAGAACTGAGACACCTGAGCATTAAGGTTCACAGAGTAATGAGTTTGAAGAATCTTAGGTTGAAAGTAGCTCTGGATCAACCCAATATATGTGTGACTTTGAATATCTGTCTTTTCTTATGGTTGCTTCCCAAAACACAATTTCAAAATATTTTTGAAGCCATGTAAAATTGCTTTATCCTGGGAAGAGCCAAGACTCTGAGCCTGATGTTTCATGACAGTCTGCCTCAAAGCACTGCACTAAAACATCTTCCACAAATCAAAGATCAAAGCCAGAGGATCACCTCCCTACCCAGCTAGGAAAAATGTCATATCCAAAGGATCAGTCCTCTCTGTTAGAACGTTTTTTATTCCTAAAATGTAAAAACCACAAAGCAGATCCACAGCAAACTTGTTATCTGGGATACCAGAGCCTTTTCTCCTTGAGTTATTCCCTTCTGTGCAAGGCTTGACTTAGGAACCTGTAACTTTAGCCTCCCCGGAATATACACACATGGTGACTTTTGCAATCATGTGGTCATTCACAGTTGGTAGGTGAAGAGAGATTATAACCATACACTTATGACAAAATGAAGAGTGTTGTTGGGAGCCATAGAATTGGACTACTTTGTTGGCATTTGTTGACTAGATGTAGACACCTACAGTGAAGAACCCTACACTCAATATACTTAACCTGGGCTCTTATTATAGTGAAGGGAAAGAAATTATTGCTTTCAAGGCATGATTCAGCTCCTCCTAATGTAGACATCCATGTAGATCTGATAAATCATGCCTTAAAAGCATTTATAATTTTTTGGAAGATCATAGTGAGATTTAAATATTAGCTCAGCTGAAGCCTGTATCTCTTCACCAATATGACAGATTCCACAACTCTTTTTGTAATGTCTACAAGGTTGCAGCTGTGTGTTTGTTTTTTTTTTATAGGTTACTGCTGACATTTTGATAATTGTGCTGACAAATAATAACTTTGACTGTAGTGCTAAGAAGAATGATGCAGCAATGATCTTAAGCATTTCCCTCCAGAAGCATCCAGTATTTCATTTGTCTGTCACATCCCCCCAAATTCTCAGGCATGTGAACATCTTATTTTGGTGCCTTACAAACTCCATGGACTTTATCCACCTTAGGAGACACCTCTTCAGCTTGAGCCTACTGCAGTTAACACATAGCAAACCAAATCTGAGAGCCCTGGAGACAGCCCCTTTCCCTTGAATTCCCAGCATGGTCCTGTAGTTAATTGAACCGAGTTAGTTTGCCAGACATCTTTCCAAATTAGTGTAGATCACATCCAACTTTCATCATATTTTTCTCAAAATAAAAGCACTCAGTCTGGGTTGTCTCTCCCCTATACTTTCTCTATAACTATTGTTTGTCCCATGTCTCCTGTTGCCAGGTCCCAGAAAAGCCCAAGAAGAAGAATATTTACCTCAGTGGCTTCCAAATCTGCGATTATTTCACCACTTTCTTTAGCTTCCCTGAATGCATCATAGAAAGTCCTTTCTCCAGACTCCAGTGTGATAGTCAGCACAGCATCATATGCTTCCTGGAGCTTGGTGTCATTATCAAAGACGCTGAATGAGTAGTTTTGGTAAGGTAGACTGTATAGTAAAGTGTCATATGGAATAAAGACGTATCTTCCATCTGCTAGTCCCATATCCAAAGCTGTTGTGAGTAAGGTGGCCTGTTCTTCCCCTCCAATGAGCACGGAATGCATGCACAGGATTATAACTGAAACACAAGGATCACAAAGAATGTCGTTAATCCATTTGGGGTTTTCAAAATAGCTTTCTCCACCCCAATAAAAAAGCTCTCTAAACTGCTGTATCAGGTCAGACTCTAATGGTTACCCACCAATGTTAAATGCTTAGGAAGTTTGGAGCTACACCAATTTTGTTCAACCTCTGGAGGTCTGCAACATCTGGCAAAGGAAGTTGTGAGCATTGCCCCTTCCTGAAGCCATACAGAATGAGAAGTGGAGATAATTTTTCACAAAAACGATGCATGGGCTAAGATGATGGGTAGTCATGGTCATTGTTGATATTGACTGAGAGACATGAGCTTCCCATTTGTGTGCCCTGAACTGATAGACACCACAGAGTTGTGAGCAGTGCTCAAGCTCCACTCTTTCATCCTGTCAACATATATACAGATTTTAGGTTGGGCACTATGTTTATTTCAACATCTTGCCCATGCTTGACCACCCCAGACTCTGTATCTTTGCCTGCAAAATGCTATGGGTCCAACATCCCCATGTCTGGTGAGGAGATCTGGAATACAGGTGTAACTTATTAACAGGCTTTCCATAGTGCTTACTGGTCCTTCATGAAAGGAAGCTCTCCTGATCATTCATCCATTGGATGGAACAGATGTTCTTTCATGGACGATCTTTCATCCATTTCATCCATCATTTCAAAACTCAGTCAGTGAGAGGAGAAAAGTAGGGCAATGATGGAAAGGAAAGTTGCAAAGGAAACCTGTCTGCTACTAAACCAGGTGGGAGCAATATCTCTAGGGTACCTGTTGTCTCTCCTTAGGAGAAAAAGTATCCCTGGCAAAGCAGAAGATGAAGTGACTATGAGCATTTTCAGGTTTCTGAATTGCAGGAAAGAGATGGGTGCTTCTAGGTAGTAATTCAGAATCATGGAATCATAGAATGGTTTGGGTTGGAAAGGATCTTTAAAGGCCATCTAGTCCAACCCCCTTGCAGTGAGCAGGGACATCTTCCACTAGATCAGGTTGCTCAGAGTCCTGTCCAACATGGTCTTGAATGTTTCTCAGGATGGGAACTCTACCACATCTCTGGGCAACCTGGGCCAGTGTTTCACTACCCTCATTGTAAAAAATTTCTTCCTTATATCTAGTCTAAATCTCCCCTCTTTTAGTTTAAAACCATCACCCCTTATCCTGTCGCTACAGACCCTGATAAAAAGTCTGTTCCCATCTTTCTTATAGGCCTCCTTCAAGTATTGAAAGGCCACTAAAAGGTGTCCCCGGAGCCTTCTCTTCTCCAGATTGAATACCCCAACTCTCTCAACCTGTTCTCACAGCAGAGCTGTTCTAGCCATCTGATCATTTTTGTGGCCTCTTCTGGACCTGCTCCAACAGGTCCATATCTTTCCTATGCTGAGGACCCCAGGGCTGGATGCAGCACTGCAGGCGGGGTCTCCCCAGAGCGGAGTAGAGGGGCAGAATCCCCTTCCTTGACCTGCTGTCCATACTTCTTGTGATGCAGCCTAGGATATTGTTGGCCTTCTGGGCTGCTAGTACACAGTGCTGGCTCATGTCCAGCTTTTCATCCACCATCAGGTGGATGAATCATCCATCTGATTCATCCCATACTATAGCAGAGAGCCTAAGATGGCCGGATGAAACACATTTGAAGAGGGAATGGTTCTCTCCATTGGTTATGAAAGAAGCCTGTCATCTTTAACTCATGGAGAGCTGTGATGGTGGTGAGATGAACCCACTCAAGACTGATTTGGTCTCAAGCATAGATATTAGCACTGATAAAATTCCAAGTTGGACAGCACCTGGCTACCCTTGTTAGTCTTTGGCACAAAAGTCAAAGTCTTAGCTAAAATATGTCCTTGTCTGGATCCACAGTGCTGACTGCAGAGGTGTTCACCTAGGATCAGAACTCCATCACAGACTTCCTAAAAAGGTTCTGAACTAGAAAAACATTATTTTTTCCCCACATTTTCTCAATAGAAAACAGATCATTATTTACTACAAGTGCTGTACATCGAGAAGGGCCCTTTCACTGTGTGAGTAAGTGGTGTAGAACACTTCTGAACATTCCCTGAACACAGGTAGCAAGGACACAGCATCAAAGCATGAGACTTTTGATAATCCATAATCCAAAACACCATAAATATAAAACCTTCCTATAAACCCTGCTTTACACTTGACAGGGTCAAGCACACATACCTGTCCACTAAATAGTATTTTTTCAGACAAGCTGGATCCAATCTCTCATGTTGTAGAAACCTATTTTGCCCTATCTCCATCACATGCAAAATGACCAACATTTTTTTACACGAAGCCTTGGCTCCATTAGGGTCAGAGATAAAATTCTGCTTGACTTAAATGACTTCAAAATTTCACTCTCTAACCTATGTCCACTGGAAAATAATGCAATCCTACTCTGCAGACAATAATCTGGATCCAATCTCTCATGTTGTAGAAACCTATTTTGCCCTATCTCCATCACATGCAAAATGACCAACATTTTTTTACACGAAGCCTTGGCTCCATTAGGGTCAGAGATAAAATTCTGCTTGACTTAAATGACTTCAAAATTTCACTCTCTAACTTATGTCCACTGGAAAATAATGCAATCCTACCCTGCAGACAATAATAATTTAAAAAAAAAATGAAAAACAAAGGAATGAGACTCAAAGCACTTACTTTTAACACCATCAACTACTTTAATCTCATTCCAGACGTCTTCAGTGCTTTTTTCTCCTTTACGCATAGATGTAACAACTCCTACGGGAAGCCCTTGGTTCCTGAGTGCACTCGCTAACTTGTTGGCTGTGTCTACCCAAATATCCTCGCTGGAAGCAATGATGCCAACATGAGCCCAGTTGAAATATTTCATTATTGTAAACAAAACTTGAGTTGGAGAGGGCAAGGTCCTTGCAAATGTAGGGTGGTGGATGGTGGAATCCAGTTTATAATTGATGCACATCCATGAGAAAATGGCTTTATTCCAGTTTTCCCCTAAAATAGTAGCCACCTCACAGAAGCCAGGGTTCAGAGGGCCTATGAAAGCTGAGGAAAGCTTTCTAAAGTCAAAGAATCTAACCAGAGCTCTTGATGTCTCACATTCTTCTTGGAGGACCACATAATCCAGTCTGTGGCCAAGATCTAGTGAAGGATCTATGCTTATTCGTTCTACTGCTAACCTGGCAGCCACGTGGGGAAAGGCTTTGGAAAAGATGGGGTCACAGTCCCAGGGTCCAAGCAGTCCAATTTTAAAAAGAGAACAATGTGCTGGAGAGCAAAATAGGATTATTCCCAACAGTAGCCACCAGAGACTTTGGAAAAATGTCTTGAATAAATTTCCAGTCTTGAACTGACGCAATCTAATGTGCCTTGACAGCACCCAGAACAAGCTGTTAGGACACAGTAGGAGAAATGACATTGTTTTAGAGGTAGGTAGATCTGCGCCGAGTTCTTCAGGAAGCCAGGTAGTGCATTACCAGCTGCTGGAAGAGAAGTAGATTATATTTGCCTTCCTGTATACATATTTGTTCAGTACATGTAGATACAGCCAAGTCAGCCCAAATTACACAACAGTTTGCAAGTCTATGAGGTACCAAAATCCTGCACAAACAAGTGGACACGTAGCACACAAACCACTGCACCATGCAGACAAGCGTCCACCCAGTCTCAGTTTGGTGTATGGTAGCCCTTAAATACACATTTACATAAACATTTTAAAATGATTTGCAATGTATTCTGAAACCAGACAATGAGGAATGACTTCGTTTTGTTTGCAGCAGTAAACATAACCTATGGATACACTATGGGGTTTTTTTTGGTTTTCAGAAGGATAAATCTCAAAACACACATATAAGAAAATAAAAAGACGAAACACACTGAGCCAGCAACTTTTGCCAATTCAAAATCCTCAGTGAGTTTTAAATATAAATCAGAGCCCATATACACATAAGCTTATAAAACACATATGTAGACTCATATATACTTAGAGATACATATGTATGTGCGTATAATTTTAAAACACATGTAATCACAAAGGTTTTCCAGGGACAACTCATGACTGAGTCTTTTAAATCTGGCAAAATGAAAGGTGGATAAACAGGTAATCACAAAATGACGGAATAGGAGGATTATGATTTGTATTTAGATAAAGAACTGTTAAATAACCCTCAGAGCAAAAGCTTTGTGTTCACTCTTGGCTTAAAATATTCTCGGTTAAAGACTAGGACCCATAGTTTATTTGGGAATGACAACATTATCCTTCACAGCCACAGAAATTGCAAACCCATAACAGTCTCCCCACCATCTGCAGTGTTACCCCATGGCTTAGAAAATTTGCTGATCCAAACAGGTTTGTTCTCTAAAAATAGCAAGCCCCTTACATCAGCTTACCTCTTCATTACCGGAGTATTTTTATCCTGGATCTTCAGCCACTGAGACATGCAACGCAAAGCACCACAGTGCAGCTTGTTCTGGAAATACACCCGCAGATCCTCTAGCTTGATGGACAGAGACCTCCAGAAGGAGCCACCCACCAGTGGAACAGCTTCTCACCGGTGACAGTGGCTATCCTCGGACGTGGGTCCCACCTCAAGGAGAGGCGATGCATGGTCAGCCTCCCCTGCAAGTGCACTTGGATGCCCACCTCCTTCAACTTACTGCTTTCATGGGTCACTCCAACTGGATGGGTGTTCTTGGACCTTCCACAACGTGTCAAAAGCTTCCTATGTTCCTTTTGGTGAGGACCATCCTTCTTCTCCAGGGTTTCATGACTTGAGGTACATCCTACCAAGCCCTTAGTTTCTCGATGAAGGTCTTGCAGAGCTTCAAGGCTGCCTCACTGTGAGCTGCCTCAGTGCAGAGTTGTACTCGTATCTAACTCTGTAATTGCACGGATGGTATCTTAAAGCTCTGCCCTTGGATTAGTGGGATTTAGCTCCTGGGATCTGCCCCTGCAGAACAGCTCCTTAAGTCTCTCTACCGCAGAAGGGATAGCTCCTCTTCTGCCCTGTAAGCAGCAGAGGGAAGAGCTATTTTAGGTGTAGGGTAAGCAGAATATTTGATTTTGGGTTCTGCCATCCTGTTGTTGTGTCGCCTTCCCCTTTTCCCCATTTCTTCCTTGTGCCCATCATGACACACAGAGATTTTTACACTTGCATGAAAGTCTTGCTTATTTCCCTGAATCTTCTAGATATCTCCCTACAGCTGAGCCCTCCAATAACCGTCCTCATACTCCCAGACACCTTCCTTCCTCATTGAACCTGGCAATAAAACTGTCATCCTGGAAAGACCTTACATGTCTTCAGGCTTTCTTACCTAGGAAGCCCCATGCAATAATTTAGCTGAGGTCACAAGACCTGCACCTGTGGTGTAGATGGAACCATTTATAACTCAACATTTTAGCTGTATTAACTTCAAACACATCATGTAAATTATACAGGTCTCATTGGTGTGTGTTCAGGACCAGTTGTCTCTTCATGACTAACAGTTATGGGAAGCCACAAAGTTTTTCAGATGCAGTAGAGAGAGCAGAGCTCTAATTTAATTAATTTCTTTCCATTCATTGATTTTCTTGCATGGCCCAGATCTAGGAGGTTTCCTGGACATGTACTTCAGTGGAGACTGGTATAACTCAAGATGGTTATCAGGAATTAGCAAATAATTTAACATTTGGAAAGTGCCTAAAAGACCTGCTAGTGTCAAGTCTAAACTGAGAACACTGCTTTGTGTGCTGCTACTTCATTAGGTTTTGACACTGTGTTTTGATCAAAGCATGACATGAAATAAATTTTGTGCAGTCAGGAGTCTGATTTTCTGAACTGAACTTAAAAGTTTTATTTAGCCATACATAAATATACCTACATCTCTATCAATATATTGTGTCACAGAATCACAAAATCACAGAATTGTAGGGGTTGGAAGGGACCTCAGATGGGACCTATGTTCACTGCTGTCTCATTTCTTTTGGTATTGACAACAATAACTGCACAGTTTAATTTCACTCAGGGTCAGCAGTTTCAAAGTCTCCTGGAGTAGTTGCAAAACTCCAATGATTCCTTTCTAGGGGATGTTTATAGCCTTAAAATTATCTGTGTTGAAAAAAAATGTGTGTCAGGCACACAACAATGAAAAATTAAAAAATAATTTACTTGGAAATCTATTTATTAATGTAATTATTCTGACCCTTAACAATTAATTTTTCTCATAGTCAAGTGAGTTGAAACCTTTATCACTTTCTCACTTTTATTCTACTTCTTGTTTGCCAGGGAAAGAAAAGACTCTCCTGCAAATAAGTAATATAACAGTAACAGGAATCCACCCTCCATAGGAAAAGCTCCTTGTCCCAGATAGCTCTGCCACCTCTGTCCCATGCTTAGGGTGTCCAGGACTTGGGATAACACTCCTACCTTTGCAAATTAAGCTCAGGTACTGGTATTTACCCCAATAATAAGCAAGCAAGGTGAATAATGCAGCCAAGACCAAAAAAAAAAAAGTTATTAAGGTAATTAATCTGGATTAATATTAAAATTAATCTGAATTAATATTAAAGATTAAGATGCGGCGTATGCCTCCAGACTTTGCTTTCTTCTCACATCTAAAGCTCATCATTACTGTAACAACCACATCACAGAGCGAAGATTTCTTTGCAATACCGTGATATTTGCACACCATCAGATCAATTCCCAACACATTTCTGTACTCACTGAAGTGAGAGATGCACGTATTCGTACAGCCCTAACATTTCCCATGGGACGGTTAAGCCACAACTGTATCGCTTTGCTTTAATTTTTTAGAGCAGAAGAGGGTGCTCTAATCTCTTGGTCTGACCTCCCACATCAGCCTGGCCAAACAACCTCCCAGGAGCTGCTGTTGTTCTGAGCTTTTCAAATGTCCTGGAAATAAAATGTATTTTATTATGAATTATACGAGAGGATACCGCTGAATAAAGCTGATTTCTCTGGAAACCCTCTGCAGCTAGCTAGTTCCAGCTTTGGTCCTGTTCTGACTCCCTGTAGAAAAGTTTCATATCTCACAGAATTACAGAATCATTAAGGTTGGAAAAGACCTCTAAGATAATCCAGTCCAACCATCAACTCATCACCACCGTGCCCTCTAAATCATATCCTTGAGTGCTACATCTACATGTTTCTTGAACACCTCCAGGGATGGTAACTCCATCATCAGTTCCCTGGGAAGATCTCTACTGATTATAGAGAAAATCAAGAGACAGCAGCATGGCAACACTCACATTAGTCTTTCTTCACGTCCTCTGAGCCTTAATTAAATGCTCCAGCCTCGGAGAATCTACCAGGTTCCCACGTCTATTATTCCAACTGTTAATTACCCTCAACATTAAAAATACCCACTTAATGTCTACTGAATTTGGCTTCAGCTTCCTGCAACTGGCTCTCACTCCGCCTTTGCCTGAGAAACAAAAAACCATGTGGGTTTGCAGAATAAATATCACCTCCCTGTAGACATTTGCACACCATAATTAGCTCACATCCTCATCATTCCCTGAGCAAAATAAATAAATGGCTCCTTAAGGCTTTTGCCATAGAATATGCTTTCAGGATTTCATCCTTGCAACGCTCTTTTGACATTCATTTTTAATTTTCCTTCTCTTTTCTAAATTAAAACCAGTGTCCATTAGTAAGCCTCTCTCCTTAATGCTGAATATAGAGGTGAAGGCATCTTTTATCACTTTTTTGAGTTTTCTCCACTTTAATTCTAAAGCTCAGATGAACATCGTGGTGGCAGCACTGTTTTCAAGCCCATCTCTGCTTTCCTTAATGCAAACCTCTGCCTTGGAAGTGTGGTATAAATTTTTTGTTCCCAGATGTATACAAACCCGTCTGGTTTCAGTTTAGTGGATATTTTTCGAATATGTCGATTTAATGAGAGGTCTAGACCAATCTGCAAGTTTTATGAATAATGATTTTGCTTTTTCTTCCAGATAATGTGATACAGTTATTGAACTACACTAGAAAAAATTATATCCCAGAGGCTCCAGTAGAGAACACTACCAAAGGAAGCATACTCATCACCTATTTTATTTCAAAATATCAATTAATAATTTTTTATTTCCTTACAATGTGGACACACTGACTCTGTAGCACTCATTTTCTCCTTCAATATAATCTTTCAGTAGGATGACATCTTGTAGGTATTTAAGAAGGCAGCACCACTACTTGACTTTATGTGTCAGACTTGTGACTTGACCACAAAATTTATGTAAAGTCAGACTGACAAGATTTATTATCGCTCCAGCCTCACTGTCTGGCATCAGTTAACCTGCATTCTTGAATTCTTCACAAGTTCCTCTCCATTTTCTCCTTTCAGTGACTTTGAGTAAGCTTGATGTCAACCTAATCTGACATCAGTTTCTTGGCTATGCAGCACGGAAAGGGTTTGACGTCCGATGTTTTTGGTGGGGCTGGGTTTTTTTGGGTGGAAATGTCCTGCTGTACCATATTATCCTGTTTTCAAGTTGCAGTCCAGCATGTGGAATCCTTTTTTCTCCAGATTATCTGGTTTGCATCAGAGCAGCTATATGTCTTTGTATCAGAGCAGCTATAGGTCAGCCCTGAAGAGTCCTGTAGAGCCAGGTTCAAGTAGGTCCACTTCTTTCCACAAATGCCTAGTTGTATTTTATTTTCTTGGAAGCTGATTTGGTAGCCTATGAGATCTGAAGTCTCTGGCACTAGCATTAGTGGAATATATGACGTTGCAGGTAGTTTGGATAGTCAATATTAGATCTGGCAGGAAAGAGTCTCATAACACCGGATGAGGTATTTATACGTGTATTTATTTAGGCATCAAAACCCGAGTGTTTAATTTGACAGCCTTGTCTCCAGAAGCTCATTATATAGCAATACATAAAGAAACACTCCTCCTCCAGGGGACATTTCCAAACTTCTTAGCATCCAGCAATGATTCAACCTAAGAAGTGGCTACTATTCATCATTATCTTTACATGAGGTTTAGTGAGACTGGACTTTTAACAAGCAAGTTAAAACCAGGTGCTGAAGGAGATGGAGTGTCTCATGTGGTATTAACTTGGTATTAACTGAAAAAGCACTTGCCCAATGTGTCTAAATTGTTTTTCTTGAAATATGTTAGATTCAAAAAAACTTCAGACACGTCTGGATCTACATTTGGAGACTTTAGAAATTGTCAAGTGTCTTATCTGGGAATAATGATATCAAGCAGGTCTGTCTCATGGGTAAGGAAGCTGAAAGCGAGGGAGTGTTTGATACATGCTTTGCAAGCTTGGCCCGCACGGCCAGCCCGGAAACCAGCCACAGCAGCTCAGTGACAATGATAATTCATTGATGGCTTTAACAGAAAACCTGAGGGGAACAGCAAACTCACCCAGCACTTGTAGAGTTCAGGAAGC